CTATACATAATGCTCCATTTGCAACAAACGATAAAATGAAAAGTAAAATAAAATGCACGATGGTGAACTAGGTTCGATTGGTTCGGTGCGTTCGGGCATCGACGTATGACCGTTCGCGAATCGACCTCTGACCGTTCGCCACGAATCGACCATTGCCGATGTCGACCTTTGCTACTCGTTCCATCCAGCTGTTTGAAATTCAACATGGCGGCCCGGGCACGCACACGCATTTGCCCGCGCAACCACGAATTCACGACCTGTCCTCAGATCGTTCAACAAATTTTAATTTATTTAATTATTAGCCGTCAAAACTGTCATCTTCTTTGCTCATTTAGAAGTATTTCATCAATTCGAGACGAAGATTTAACCACAGGGCCAACGAAAATCAAGAAGAAGCCATGGGAAGTGTGGAGAAACCGATGCTCCGAGTGGATCCTTACAGGTATGAGTGTATGAGTCGTTTTTCTGGTGTTGCTTTCAATCGCCTCTCTTTTAACTAAATCGCGGAAACCTACACTATGTACTGATTCCTCCATGAGAACGTAGTGAAGTTCCCATAGCTTACGATGTTACAACAGAATTGTCATCAGACTCCTGTGACGGAACATATGTCTTTTTGTCTGTCGCTGGACTTGTCTTGGAGATTCTGTTGTGGACCAAGAGGCATCTCTTTATTTCCTCTTATCTTATCTAGTCAATCAATGAATGCAGACCGGTTCTTGAAACTCTGTTGACACGCCAGAACAAGATAAGGAATGTGTAAGTTTTGCGCCTGAAAGACCTTGATCCCCTACGCCGGGGCATGCTGATAAGAATTTCAACAATCAATTCCTGTGTGTGAGACTGAAGCTAACTTTTAAGAAGGAACCTCTGAGCACAGTGAAGAGTGTTTAGCAGGTTTTGTTTCCCAATCCCCTGCAAATAGCAAGAACTGTGAATACTGTTGCCACACCTATAATGATCATCCTGGTTCGGACTCCACTACCAGGTATCTCCCGCCTAAATTTTCTCCTCAAGAATTGTAACTTCCTCATTCCCTAAACGTCCTCTAACTCTCTCTTTCTTTCTCTTTCATGTCGTTTAATCTCTGAAAGAAAGAGTTAGTTTGTCTGCATGTAGTCATGCTGTGATAATGCGACCAATTTCATCATTTTGAAAGCTCACCTAGATCATCTCTTCCCTGCGAATCGATAGCTTAGCCTCTGCTCCACCTGAGCATTTTTCTTTTTTTAATCAATGGGCCAGTTACGCTGGTAACAGAATCATGTTTTGATGCTTGGTTCTAGTAGATCAGCTCTAAATAAATAGATCTGGCCCAACAGCAACTCTCTACGTTGAATATTAACCGGGATATCTCGCCTTGACAAACTCGATCTATGACGTCATCTACTGCGGTAGGGTAGTGCATAACATGATATGTCCTACCGTGGTAGATGATGTCATAAACTAAGTTTTTCAAGGCGAGATACCTCGGCTAATATTCAACGTAATAGGGCTGTTTGACCAGATCTTATCATTTTTAGTTGGTCTGCATGAATATTTGGTCTGCAAAAAAAAAGTATCATAACTTGATTCTAAGACCAGCACGACTGGCCCATTCTTCCACTTCTGTGTTATGTTTCCATTGTTTCAAGTCTAAATTTTTCACAATCACCTGTTTACTCTACTCTGTAGAGGTGTAGTCAGCTAAGTTGGCACTTGTTTACATTCCACTTGCAAGCAATAGACGATATTAGTGGTATCGTCATTATAGGGATTCTCCATTATATGGAATTGGATCCAAACAATAACATTGGTGTAACCTCTTTCAATGCTATTACTGGGAATAAATCGATATATTTTGCTTTTATGTGACTTGCCACTAATAGCATCTATTGCGATGCAATTGTCAAACAGCAATTAATAGGGGATTAACGGCAGCCTGATTGTGAGCTTAGTGAATCCTCGATGACTGTTGGACGACTACATTATAGTTGCGTGCTAACGATATGTATTCAAGTGCCAACTTAGCTGACGATACCTCTACCTCAAGTTACTTCTGATAGTTATATGCAAGTTTGTCCTATCTCTTGAAGGCATGAAGTTTTTTGACCAATTTTATATACTCTCCACCGTCAACCTTCTCCGGTATTGAATCGAGCAACACTCAAGAATATTTATTTTCGGTTTACAGTGTACTTTCCGTTTTTAATTGATCAGAGTGGGTATGTAGAGACCTATAACTAATTCAATAAGAACTACAGCATTTTTCCATATACTTTGTATCTTTGTAAACTTTATTTGAGAGGAGTTAAACCCCTGTTTGAGGTAACAACTTCAGCAGTAATCTTACTGTATCACTCTCCGCACTGTACGACTGGCTAAACGATCTGCTATAGGCTGTTTACATAAGTAAAAGTAGTCAGCAAGAAATCGATTAGTCTTTTAGTGAGTGGTGCTATTTTCGGAAGGTTGCTTTTGCAACAATTAAAAACCTGCTCATCATATTGCAGGTACTTGAAAACACAAAGCTCAAAGAATTTTGTTGCCTTCTTCCTAATGTAGATTCCTCCTTTTTACAGATTTAAAAACTTATCAAAATGGCGCCAGAGCCACTGGATATCTCTGAGCATGAGTTGCTCTTCAAAGCAACCAATTTATTCAAACTGGCCTCCATAGATTTGTCTCGGGTATGAGTTATAAATATTTTTCATCAAGTAAAATCATTTTGTTAATCAATGAGAACTGGAATAATGTTTTAGGACAAATAATTCATATGTTTTCTGTTCTTTTTTTCTTATATTTTAGTTCAAAACCCGTCAAAGATCTCTCCTGAATTGTTGTAGGGTGAAGAAATTAATTTCAAATTCAGAGTATTGCATTTTAAATCGACAACTTCTATTGAGCAACCACTTGCAGCTTAAACACAGTTTACAGCTTGTAATAATGACTAAGATTATGATGCATCATATAATAATGGAAAAATGTCCCTTAACTTTTTAGTCCATCGTTTTTTCACCAACATTCTGTAATCTACTTAGTACAACTTTAATATGAGAACATTGTGTTTTTATGGACAAAGAATTTAGTTAAAAGTGTGAAGAAAGTTATGTCGAAGCTGTACACCAAAGTGAGAAATCATGTATCTCCATCGCTTTGTTACAAAATTTCTGTCCCTTTCTTTTTTTTTTTTTTTTTTTTTGAAGCGGAGCAAGCCAACTTTATGACTTGAAATTTGTTTAGAGTATTCTGCTAATGGACCACTAGACAAGACACGAATTCAAGCATTCTGATACATGTTTCTTAATTAGAAGTTCACGTAGAACATGATTCGTGCCACGAAAATCACTGAAACTAACTCCTGACGAAGATATTAACCTTTTTATTTCACATTGGTTACGCGGATTTTGAACTGCCCGCTCACAAGAAACTCAAAGCTCTACGTGAGTCAAATCGCGCACTACAACAGTTTCAGCAGGCCTCTCAATCGAGCACTGTTCATTTCCCACCATGTGTTGTTCAAATTAGAAGCAGTTTGCTATAGCTGAGCCAAAGTGTCAAAATTGTGGTTGCCAGATTTTCATATCGCAGAGACTGTCGCGATAATACTCAACGCGCGATGTGAATCACGTAGAGCATTGAGTCTTATTGAGCGGGTGGTTTGAATTCACGCATCAGGAATCATTAAATATCTTCGTAAGGAGTTGATTTCGGTAACATTTGTTGTGCGCATCGTATTTTACGTGAAATTTTGGTTAAAGAACATGTATCAGAATGCTTAAATTCGTACCTTGTCTAGTGGTCCATTGTAAGAGTGAAGAAAAATTAAGGAAACTTTCCAGAAGTTATGATAAGGAATTTTTGGAAGAAAACATATAGTATGTCAGGAAGTCTGCAACGTGCAAACAGAGGTACCTGCTTTTGCTCTTAGGTCATTGCCATAGTTCTTATACAACAACTTTTCACCACCATATTCCAACATATGAATTACATTTCATCATCAAAAGATATTAAATAGCCAAAATAAAAATATTCACCCTGATTTTCAAAATTAAATTTTCCATTTGACTGGTACATTTTTTTTTAAAAAAAAATCAAACCTCGGGAATGAATGCTCTTCAAAGGAATATTGGGATTTAATTTAAAATGAAGGAAATAATTTCAAAACTGATTTTGTACCAGTGGAAATTATAATCATATCTTCGTCAGTCCAACCATTTTTACTATTCAAATTTAAACTGGAGGTTGATAAGCTCTTAATGATAAGATTTACATTCTTCTTGTTGTCAAACTTCCTGATCATTATCCGAAGGAGATTGAAAAAAAGTGCCCAGCTTTCATTCATGCAGAATTTATGTCAGTCTTGTTTTCCAGATTTTTGCCTAATAATGTTTGCCAAACTGAAGCAGGGAAATTTTACAAGGTATTAAGTTAAAATTCGGTGTCAGATTTCAGGAAAAAGCCTTCATGGTGACTTATTTTTTCTGGAACTCACCATCTCTTGAATTCGCAACTTGGCTGCACAGTTTTATATGTTAATTTTCAAAGACACTTCAGAAGAGTGGTCCTGTGTTCCATTTTCTATTAGGTACGTGGTTCCATAAGAATGTGGTTGGTGTGTTGGTGACTGAATATTTAAATTTTTTGCAGTCTTCCACGATTTGATAAAAAAAAGCTCTACAGAATAAAGGAAAAGCTTGTCAAGGCACTTATGAGGTGCGCCTTAAAAGCCTGAAAGAGAAGCAAAATGTATTTAGGTATGACAAAGCTGAGAAAAAATTATATGTACTTACTTGTTTCGCTTACCTGTCAAATAAATTTTTCAGTGCTTGGAGGCATTATGAGGAATATTAGAAACCTCTACATTAACTCCTCAGCAGTCAAAGAAATTAATTTTGTTGAAGCTGCGATGGTGATTCAGAATTCATCGATTATCTTTGCCAAGAATGTCGACACAATTTGGGCAAGAGCTATGAACATACGGCTTGCTTTATCTGCTAACATAATGTAAGTGATCAAAGTATTTTTTCAGGGTCATTACTCTTTCGATAGGCGCTAGATGAAGATTCGCCATGCACATCCCACAAACCAAGTTAGGAAAAACATATTGTTAAAACATGGCAGTCTGAGGCGCTTTAAGGCCCTCTCTCTTGCATAGATGTGGCCGCCGTCTGTCATGAATATGATGCAATTGTAGTTCGTATCTTCACCAACAGAAAGTATATAAAGCCATATATGCATAGACAGCGGATGTCAAGCTTTTAAGCTTTTAAGTTTTGAGAAAATGGCGTTCAAAGTTTTCAAAGCTTTGCATTTTTGCATCTGTACAGCAAAGAGGGTTTGGTTAAGGAAATCATTTTAGACAAAAGAGCAAATCTTTTTCTAATTAATGAGCTCTAGGAATTTAAAGAGGCTGTCCCATTTTCCATAGAAAATGGCCGCAAGAGATTTTACATCCATTCTTTCAGGAATCATAACGGATCATCGGAGAGGCCTAAATCCGGTGACCTTTCCCATCTAGCCCTCCAAGGGGGAGGGGGTCAAAGGTCAAACGCACAGACTGCCATAACTTTTGAACGAAACAACGGATCAACTTGATCTAGGGCTCAAATGAAAGCTCTCAACAAGACCTTTCATTTAATATATATTAAAATTTGTATATGGTAATTTTTCATTGTGAAAAAAATCATTGTTTGGTTTTTCAAGCCTAAAAAATTCAGTTTTTTGAGTTTTTCCATAACAGGGAACACAGGAATCATTACAAAATCTAATTTAAATGAAAGTCCTTGATTCGAGCTTTAAAAAGCTTTAGCTAGAGAAGTTACAGTCACCCAGAAAAGTCAGGAATTTAGGGAACTCCTGAAAAATATTGGAATATTGCGAATAGCGCACCTGCTTAGCAACTTCAGGTAGTGCCACTCAAGAGAGTGGGAACAATTTCATAGTGTCCTTTCCTTTAAATTAACTGATCAAATTCTCTATCATTCCATCAGTCAAACTGTCTATTCATTGACCTGTTAGATTAACCAGTCAAATTGTTTGTTGATCAACCAATCAAATTCTCTGTCAATCAATAAGTTGGATCATCTGTTTCATTGACTAGAAGTCTCTCCATTGACTAGGCAAATCATTTGTCTATGGACCATTCAACTCCTCTTTTGATTAATCTGCTGAATCTTCTTTCGATCGATAAGTCAAATTTTCTATCAATGGAACTTCCAATCCGAATCAATTTGCCTTGTTTTTTTATTTTTCAGATAAAAATATTGATATGAAACTAGACAAGAAAGAGGATAAACTAGCAAAGCAATCAGATAAACTTGTCCCTCCCACCTCCTTGCGAATCAAAAGTGGTTAATAAATTGAGAGATATTTTCACACCTTAAGGAGAAGCAGTCTGGAAAATGGATGAATTCAGGTATGGACTATTGTTTTCCCTCCAATACCAACTCGCACTATTAATATTAAATGTGTATTCTATTTTAGAGCAGCCACTGTTAGTAAAAATATCAGGAAAAATTACAAAAATCGGTCATGAATCAGAAAATTCCAAGTGTGTCAAGCATTCTTCAACTATTTGCAGTTTAGCACATGGAAAAGTGAAACATTTTATTCCGTTCATTACATATGTTTGTTTTTATAACTAGGCAATTATCGACTTATTCACTTCAGGTAAAAAATCAGGAAAATCCAAATTGTTATTTTAGTAGATACATTGTTTTCCGAAATGTTTTAAAGTCTCACAAAACGTTGATCTTCTGATAAATCCGCAGTAAATTGTCAAACTTAATCTAAGTACTTTTTATATTACACAGTTTTTTTACGAATCTCTAGGGTTTTCGGCATTCCCGAAAACCTGAAAAGTCTAAGACTTCGGCAAGTAGCGCATCAGCTCAGGAACTGCAGTCCGTATTAGTTTTAGAGAGCAGGGATAACTTTCAAGTGCCTTTCTCTATAATTTAAATCTAAGTGGAAATTTCATGCAAAATGTAACAGCAATCAGTGTAATTCAAAGGAAAAAATCGAAGAGGTAGTTTTGTCCAATGATCAGGGAAAAGCGGGGAATCAAAAAATTCTGGAGTCAGGTAAATGAAGCAGTTATGAGATCCCTTTCAATCCTCCAACCTATCTTACCAGGCCTACCTTACTCTCTTCCAATCAAGATCCCTTTCCACAAAATCATTGAGCCTCTCGGCTCTTCGATTTGCAATCTACAATTTTGTGAGAGTTGATAAATGTTTTTATTTACACCTAATCTCTGTTAACAAATCTCCTGCTCTTCTTCAGCTCCTTCTATTTATTTATTTATTTTTTAAAAAAAGTAATTTTCCCAGATTACTCTGTTCATTGAAAGACTTTCGCGATTTTAAAGAAAATCACATTCACAAGTTTTCACCTTTCAGCTCAGATTTTTTCCAAATAAGTATTATCTCAATTTATTGTTCAAGTCAGACACATTAAAATGTCCCTAAGCAATCCGTAATTGTTTGTTCTTAGGGTCCATTACCTAGTTCATTTTATCATACTCCACCTCTTTTTTCCCCAGATTATTTTGGCCCATCACGAAAAGCGGTTATCTACAAGAAGATCGTGAACCTGATGATCGGTGTGTGTTTCCTGAAAGAATCATTGAACAAAGTTTTACAGGTAGAAAATACGTTTGTATCCCTTGAACAGTCTAATCAACCATTATAAAAACAGTCTATATCCTATTTCTTAAAAACTATTCCACGTACCTATTTTAATGTCAAATCTTGAAATCATGAACTCTTCGGGATTTGACCTTCGAGAACTCAAAAACTCTTTTGAGCAGATAAAAAAATGAAAATTAGTAAACTCCTTCAGAGTTGTAAAGAAATGTTTAGGTTAAAGAGTCAGATTGTTTTTTATACAGCTGATTTTACCGTCTAATTTTGATCTTGAACTATTGGCTTGAAATAAAATATTTTACGGTAGATGTTCAATCATCGAAGATGAGTAATTTGCCTCTCATTTAGTTTTCTCAAGAATTAAACGCGGTGCATTTTACTTTTTCTCAAAACTATTGTATCAAAGGTTGGCTGCAATCATGTCCGTCTGTAACAGCACGCTGTCATGTACAGTTCATTTTTGCAACTGCTGAACTCACAAGATTTCTCAAAAAAAAAAAAAAATGTATGATACATTGAACACAAGTGTAAAGAATGCATTGAGTGCCTCCACATATAATATTCAGTATTATGCAGTTTTTTTAAAGCATTTTTTCCGCATTTTCACTCTGCTATTTATTATGAAGCCTTTATCAACAAAACCCTCTAATTTTACTATGATCCGGGGCCATTGATGTCATGCGGAAAAATGTTCATACCAACCTGATAAACATTCCCGTCTTAATCTAATTATAAGTCACCCTGATTTTTGAAAAAACATCAGTGAAGGTTGCCAATTCTTTTCTACTGTGAATGTTAGAAATAATATGACAAAAATTGATTCATAAATTTTCATCACTTTAGCACAAGATTATTTGGTTATTGAGATAATAAAAAAAAATTAAATGGTATGTTGATCAATTTTTTTCCTGAAAAATCTATGTTGTGATGTAAAGTTCTCCTCTGTAAATTCCCAACGTATTTCCAGATTCAACGCTCTAGGTTGTATCCCTTTTCATGTCCTCACAATGTCAGTGAAAATAAATTGAGGTAATTCTTGAACAACTTTTGCAGAGGCTGCCGGGCATCCTGTTAATAAGGAAATTTTCAATAATGACATGGATCACTCGATGATGGACGGACACTATCCTCTGTCCCCGCCTCCTCCAACACTACCACCAACCCCTTCGCCTATGGACCTCCCCATGAAGTTTTGCCTGAAAGTTTGAAAGATACTCAAGTAGAAACTGAGGAAGAACGCGAGTGTTAGCAGAAGTAAGTAAAAAGCTCTGTATGAACTTTCAGGCGTTGTCAAACTTCCTTTGATAAAACATGAATTTATTGAAAAAGCTATATTTATTTTTCTTCCAATTTTTCGGACAATTATGTTTGCAAGTAAATCCAAAATATCTGAAACACCAAGGAAAAATATTTCTACCTACTAAATAATGTTTTTATCGGAGGAAATTTCGCAGCATTTGAATGTTCTTAAGGCAATTTTCCATAGCACATCATAAGAAAATAGAATGGTTTGTCTTTAATGCGAGAAACTGAGAAAGAATATTTTTGAAAATTGTTAGGTATACTTTGTCTAAAATTTGAGGATTTTTGATGGCAAACCTGCTTTTTATTGTATTTATTTTGCTTTATTTTTCTCTGGTCATTTTTTTTTTTATTAATACCTAATGAAGCTTTTCTTTTTTCTTTTGACTTTTGTAATTTTCTTCATAAAAACTTTGTATAATATGCATGGTTTTCTTGATGAGATCAAGCATTTCTTGAAAATGATGATCAAAACACCCGGCTGTATCATAAGCGTAAAAATATTATTTTTATCTTACAGTGATGAGTTTGTTCAAAGGATGATTTCTTTCAAAAAGCTAGCAAGACTTGTCATGATCAATATTTTTTTCAGTAATGGATAAATCTTTCACTCGCTGATTTTTTTGTAGACTTTTTTCCTCTTGAAAAACTACAGCCATTTCAGGCTTGTACCCATTGTCAGGTTTCTAAACAAAAGATGAAGATAAAAACGTAATCTCGAATTATTTTCATTTTTTGTTTTATAACATGACAATGTGCCCAAGTTCAAAATGGCTGCAGTTACTTTTAAGGAAAAAATTCTTCAGTAAAATCGGAAAGAATTTATCCATCTCTAAATCAACAGTGCCGATAAATTTAAACAAAACTTGATTGTCTTTCCCTCAAATCATGATTTAACGAGTTCCTCATTTAATCTCTTTTCAGAAAACAAAAAAATCCAGAGCGAGAAAACACTGTGTCTCTAGATAAAGTTAGAGCTAAAGCGTGGGAACTCATCCTTTTGGACAAAGGCAATCCGAATTGGCCTTTGGTAAAACGAAGAGTATACAAGTTGGATACAAGTGATTTGTCTAATTCGGTTAGTACTACTTTTCTGAATTTCTTTTCCATTTTCCTCTCTATCTGACTCGTTTTGCGATAATTGTAATACCTACAGGACTGTGATGCACATGACTTGGGTGCCTTTTTTATAGCTTCTAAAGCAGTGACGTGGCGTACTTTGCGATGTATTGATTGATCTGCCATTTAAACCTATGGAAAAGAAGCGATTAACAGGGCGTTCGTAACGAACACCTTAATAATTGATTCTTTACTATAGCTTCAAATGGGGAAATATCCATAATCGATTGTTCACGCCATGCCACTGTTCTAAAGGCCATTTTCAAGGCGACCGACAGCCACTCGGGAAAGAGGAGACAGCAACAGTGACCGAGGATCATCTCATTATTTGATTTGTGTCCTAGTTTTACGAGACGAACAGCGCGTATGCGATAACTCCCTTGCCTCCACCGGAATTGATACCTCCTCCCAGAGAGTCTGTCCGCCGGCCCTGGTAAAAAAGAGGACTACGCTGCGACTATACTGCTAATACACATCATAGTCATGTGCACATGTAAGAAGTCACAGTGTAGTCACATGGTTGTCAAGGGTAGTCATTGGTAGGCACAGTGTATTCGCAAGGTAGTTGCGAGGTGGTCACCAGTTAGTAGTCACCACGAATGTATAGTTGCAAAAGAAAAGTGCGCCATGCCTAGGTAGACATGTGCATGTGACTACAAACTCTGGCTCACTTAGTTGTGCAACTACATATTAACGTCACCTTCACAGTCTGCCTCAGACTAAGATTTAATTAAGCATAGCATACCGACTGTAAAACTGCCACACGAGCCAGATAGCACCGGATGTTCTCAGAATATTGGGACAATGTTCCGACATTTTGACATTTTGAATATTCTGAGAATATTCTGGATCAGCAACTAAACTCTGAATATTCTCAGAATGTTCATCATCTTCCACTACGCATGTGTAAGAGAATCCTCCAGCTGCATTTGCACCATGCAAGGTAACAACGGGTGACATATGTCCTGCAAACATGGTCAATAAAATAGAAAATGAACAAAAACCACTTGACAACAATGAATCCAAATTTCCAATTGGAACTGATCTCCATTGCTCAGTCCTGTCAGCACTACAATGTTGGTAATTAGGTCCTTTTAATTGCTTATCAGTGGAAACTGTCAGGACTTATCTAATAATTCAATTATTTTTTCCCATAGCGGAGCCTCTGTCAGGGAGAACTCTTCATCCTTAAGGTTTCAACAAAACATTTCAAGTACCATACAATTTGGGCGTGAGTTTGCTGCATGCAGGCACCTATTCCAGCGTTTGACTACTTGACAGAAGCTGTGCAAGTTTGTCATATGAATCCTGTTCTATGGTTACGACTTGCTGAAGCCTGCATAATGGCATATGAATCAGTAAGTTTTATTTTCTATCTCTGGCAACTTTTCTCTCCCTATAAATCAACTTTTTTCATCCACTTTTTTAAAGTGAAGCTGTAAAATCAGCGATGGTTAAAATTACGTCTCTTAGAGCTGATCACAATATCGTTGGAAAGTATCAAGACTCGGAAAAGTTCATTGTATTTCCATAAAGAAAATAGCTTATCTTTTAAATGTGGAATCAACTATCCCATCATGACTTGAAGTACTTCATTGCATTACCAGCTGCTACGTTGCTCATCTCAAGTCCTATCACATTCAGAATTTATCATAACTTTCCATTTTCATGTGTACTACACTACAATCCAAGCACACAAACCAAATTTACCGCCTGGAAATATGGAAGATAGCCTTACTTTCTTAATCTAAAAAAAAGCATCATTCTTTTATGGATGTTGACTCGGCCTGTCTTCTAAAAGTTGTGCACTTACTACTCTAACCTTAAATGCACACCAACAAATTCTGCACCGAAAAAAAATTAAAGTTGATTTAACATTCTGGATGTAAAAAGTGTGCAAGAACTTATGCAGTGCTTAATTACCTACCGTAGCAGTTAGTTTTACATCAAGGCATTGCTAAAGTAACTGCTGTAGCGGGCAAGTCAGCATTTATAAGTTCTCGCACACTTTTTTCACATCCACAATGTTAAATCAACTTCACTTTTTTTTCCGGTGTGCCATTTTCAGAGGAGCACCATCCATATTCTTCTGCTATTCATTTTTGCAAGAACCATTTTTATGGTTCTTTTGATATTTAGGATAACAGGAAAGACTTTGACTTGGCTGTGAAACGAAATGAAATCGTTAGATAAATAGTCCGGAGGTAATTTTTTACTTTTTTCCTGCTTAAATTATTGGTAGATCTCAATAATTTTATCACTACAGCATCAATATCACGCTATTTGAAATTTGAAATTTTCTTTATCAATCTTTTATGTTTAATTTTTAATCGAGTTCTCTTCAGTGATTCTAGCTAAAGTATCACTATCCAAACAATCCTTTGATGTGGCAGAAGCTCCTAAGATCTATAAGTGAACTTCCGTAGGGAAAATAGCAAGAACATTTACCTCTGGGAAAATAATCTTCTAACTTTGATGCTGTTAAGAAACACCACTACTCTTTGTACAGTTATTCAAAATGAAATATTGAAGTGTGATAGTCAATGCTGCTTGATAGTGTTCTGCATCATGTATAATTGCTCGTATGCACTAATAATCAACTTTTTGTTTGTTTTTTAGCTCAGAAGCACAATCTTATGCAATTCCAGTCGCTGGTTTAAGATTCGAATCCTTATGTTTAAAAAATGCGCAATTTCTAATGAGAAATGGGGGAGATGCACCTAACATAGGACATTTAAGATGCCATATTTTAGCTGCAAGTGTGTATGTTTGTCTATGTCTCGGAGATTCCATCCTCGCTCTAAATCATGCCAACTCATTGCTCTGTCAGAACTCCCTGTCTGGCGCACACAAGTAAGACTAAGTTACTGAAATTTTAAGTTGCAATCCATTTGAAAAGAATTTACTACCAATGAATAGGTGAATTTTTTTCCTTGACAGGGTTGTGAGTAATTTGGCACAGCTGGAAAACGTAGAAGTGTTAGAGGATTTTTAATTTTGATAAAAATATCGGGAAAAGTTGAAGGATTTAAAAAAAAAAAAATATTGATAGGCAAATTATTTTAGATACTTTATTCAATTCAATCTTGTAAATAAGAAAATGGAAACTGAATTCTTTGACATTTTATTCATTATTTACTTCTGGCTAAGGGGTCCGAAATATTTGACAATTTTCAAAGAACGATTAAAGAAATGTTCATTAACTCATGCAGGTAGTAACATCTGAAATTTTCAGTTATCTCTGAAATGAAGATTTTCTTGCTGCGTAATGCTGAAATAAAACATTTGAAATATGGACCTAACAGAAAGAAAAAATTACAAGAAATTGATATCAAGCTCTTTTTGCTGAATATTGCACTCAACATCTGCATGTGGAAAACCCCTAAAATCATGGAATTTATGGCAAACGAGAAAAGTTGGGGAATTTTGCCAAGAGCACATCGGCTCAACATCTTCAGCCTGTGCCATTGGAGAGGGCGCAAACAACTTTTGAAAGTCTTTTTTCTAGGGCTGTGCGAGTACTCGAATTTCGAGTCGAGTCGAGCCGAGTATCGAGTACTCGACTCGGCTCGAAAGTTAGGTTAGGTTCGAGCGAGTACTTGAACTCGGCTCGAGTGTCAACAACACGAGTTTTTTCGAGTATTTCAAGTTTTTTTGAGCCGGAAACGCCGAAAGAGTCCAACTTCCAAATATTTCAATCATACTTAAACTATTGTTAGTTTTGCCATCATTTTACGATTGAATAACATCAGAGTCTCGTCGGCAAATTTCTACCATCCGCAGCGCCAACACGCTACCGCCCGGCGATTTCCTGCCGCCCGCGGTTTGTAACTACACGGAGTCATATGAGCGCATTTATGCGCGTGACAAAATTCGGCGACCGCCGCTTGGAATTGAACTTCTCGAGCACGTGTTTTGGACCTTTAGCTCCAGAAAAACGGTGTCGCGGCGACAAAAATATGGATCGCGCGATTCCAAAAAACGTCGCGGCAACAACTGCCGCCGGCGACACGAATCGCGTGCATAAAATGGGCTTTGTCATATGAGCGCATTTATGCGCGCGACAAACAACCTGCGGCAGCGACCGCCGCTTGGAAAACTGAAAGTGAGCACGTGTTTTGGACCTTTGGCGCTCCAGAAAAACGGTGTCGCGGCGGCAGAAAAAAGGTGCTGCGGCTACAAAAATATGGATCGCGCGATTCCAAAACACGTCGCGGCGACAACTGCCGCCGGCGACACGGCGACACGAATCGCGGGCATAAATGGGCTCTTACTGCCGAACATTTTGTAATTTTAGTGTAAATCCTTTCTAGTGTGTCATCGACAATATTCATTAAAATCATATTATGAGTCTTGTTTGGAATTATTTGTTGTAGAAAATAGATTAAATCACGTTTTAAAACTCGAAATTACTCGAACTCGACTCGAGCTCGACTCAGCTTGAGGGTCATTTTCAAAGCTCGAAAAAGCTCGAACTCGGCTCGACTTAGTGAAAAAATACTCGAACTCGGCTCGAATCCAAAAAACCAGGCTCGCACAGCCCTACTTTTTTCTTCATTTGAATCACTAAAAGTGGAGATTCCATCCATAGTCCAACAAAAATAGGTAGAATTAAAAGGAAAGAAACATATGTGGAAGTTTTGTCGAAAGTCAGGAATTTAGAAACTTTGGAATTAGGTAAATTGAAGGAACTTGGGAAACCTTGATTTGTAAAGGAGTCATTTTCATACCTTGCCTAATGCTTAGTTTTCAAGCTAAATTTCAAAAGCCCTTCAGGATTTTAAAAGCTTAATTATATTTTCTTGATATTGACTCTGAAGTTCTATTTGAGTGAGTATTTATCTGTAAAATTGTTTGTTGCCAGGTTCCTCGGTCATTTGTATGCCGCTGAAGCACTGATAATCTTAGGCCAATCATCAGAAGCCATGGATTATTTAAAATTAGATTACTTGAATGATTTAAGTTTACTCTCTCCTCCCCAAAAGTATGAAGTCCCACTGAAACCTCCGATATCCTGGTTCCCTAATAACATTACCGTGGCCAAAAATATCCTTCAATTCAATTTAGCTGTTGCTCTAGTAATTCAAGAGGAATCAGAAAAATCTGCAGAAGTGTTGAAATCGGTAAGTTATTTCTTTATGTTGGCTTGAATGAAAAAAATTATTGTGCCGAGGGCTGAGTAAGTCCCCCCTACAATCATTAATTGTAATTATTTCAATTCCTTGGAGTCAAGCACTTTCTAACTATAGCCTCAACTTTGAATTGATTGAGACCCAACCCTAAAAATCCAGTTTTGGCTTTCAGAACACTTATTTGGAAGTGAAGTGGATGATCAGCTCAAAATATTTGAATTTCCTAGTAATATTCCCATAATTCCCTTAATTTCAAAAAGATCATACAAGTCATCACTTTTCTTCGCGATCATTCCAATCAGACACCGTGTTGTCTCCTGCACAAAGGAATGCATCTTAATTGTAGTGTCACAGTATTTCTGACTGGCATTTCAGGAGGAAGAGGATTGTTTGTAGAAGAACTGTCTCATGATTTTGCCTGAAATAACCAGGGAGTTCTCTTACGTAGATAAAAGTCCTTTTCAGAGCGCTCCAACCATAGAGTTTTCTTACTTACATTAAAGTCTCTTTCACAGCGCACTCGGGCGCTCTATGACACCTAATCGCCACTCTTGTCTGTCGATCCAGAGGTCATCTGGTAAATGGCATCTTATAATTTCATCTTGAATGCCACCTATCCACGATTTTGCTGGACATCCCCTTCGTCTTCTCCCAGGAGGAACCCAATCCAATATCTTCTTAGGCAATCTGTCATCCGATATTTGTCGAACATGACCGTACCGGACAAGCTGTTTGGTCATAATTTCATGCACGATGTTCTGCTCGGCGCTCATGATCTCACGCACTCTTTCGTTTCTTATGTGATCTCTCCTCGAGATTCCGGCTGACCTTCGCCAGAAATCCATCTCAGTTGCCTCAAGAATCTTTTTGGCACGATCTTTCATGGGCCACACTTCTCTTGAGTTTTCTTTACTTCTGTAAAAATAGACACCAAAATTTTTAGACAAAGTGTGATGGTTCATCCATGAAAAAGTAATTAAAATGCCCGTAAGGACACTGAAACAGTGCAGATGAGGTATGTTCCAGGGAATAACGATGTGGGAACATTATTCATAACTGTGAAAATCTGCACTAAATTTCTACTAGATTGCCTTAGATTCTAATGTCTTAGTGGTCAGGCAGAAATATGAGGGAACATGGTGGACCACTAAGAAACTAAAAACATTACTTCTGTATGATAGTATAGCTAACACATTTCTTTTATCAAAAATTGCTGTGAAAGAATGTTCAATAACTACACAAACTGCAAATAACTGTGCAAAAAAATAGTGAGGCATTGTTTAACAGGTTTCTCAGTCTTACTGCTCTTCTGCTATTTTCTTAAAAGGAATGAAACAGCTGCAGAGATTCTAATATAGTGCAATTGAGATACGTTTCTTGGAACTTAATCATCGATGTGTGCTTTTGCTTTTGTGAAGCAGCTAAATGGTTTCATCGATGCGATAGAAAAATTAGTTCCTTTTTGCATAATGCAGTCCAGTGGTGTCAAAGATAAATTACCTCAGAATATTTGAAGCATACTTATCCATCCGCATTCAACACATGAATGGTACAGTGTCAATTTGAGGATAACCCATGTGTTTGTGTCCCCTGTATTAAATCCAAATTTTTGCACCCTAATCAGAAGGTAAATCAGTTCTGCAATCGGAAATTGTGCAAACATAACACTCCGTAAACACTCTGTGATTTGAAATCAGGATCACATGGCCTGAATTTTAAATTGGTGGAACCAGATGGTCCATACCTAATTCAAAGGGGTTTTAATGCCTTTAATTTTCATGTAAAAGGCCTTTGATTTTGGATTGTTGAGCAATTGGCGTCCTAACATCAAATCATAGAGCTAATTCAAAAATCTTTTTTGAATTTTCTTTGAAACTGCTTTCTGTGATTTGGAATCTTGCTGATATAAAATCCCATTAATTCCAAAAAATCCTCCCCAAAGTTTCCTCAGTCCCTTCCGTTTTGAATCATCAGTAACACGTAATATCATACAATGTGCAACTGCACATTGTATGTAGCACCTTCCCATTGGAAGAGTGGAGATTCTAAACAAAATAGGTGTCATCAGGTGCTGCTAGGATTGTGAAATTGTACCTCTCATTTAACGAGAATCTCATTGCCATTGAAAATTATTTTCTAATACCTGATGAAGACCAAAATTTAGAGAATTTTTCTAGATAAAAATACCACAAAGCAAGGGCATTTTGATTCTTTCAAGATGAGAAACTCCATTTATAATTTTAAGAACATCTGATGGCGCTTATCTTGTTTTGAATTTCCACTCCTCATTTAGGTGATCAGGGTGAAGAAGAAGAAGAAAAAAAAGCCTTGTCCAAAGAAATTATTTTCATCCATTGTCACTATGAAGTGATGTTTGTAAACCTTCAGACTCTTCGCCCAGGTTTGAGCAAACTCCGTTTTTTCTAAGACTATGTCCATACAATTGCAGTTCATGGAACTTAGGGCGAATTAGTTCAACTAACTATGGTTTTGCAGAATAAGTTAGATAAGTTCCAGGAACAAGTTCGCCCGAAGTTCCGCAAACCGTAGTTGTGTGGACAAGGCCCATGTGTTGATGACTCTACATTCCATACTTTTAACTTTTTACAGCAGCTAATTTGTAAATGTATTCACAATAACATCTCAAATTATTATTTTTTTCCAAAGAAATAAAGAGTTTGATAGTTTTTACAAGCTATAATTCATATTGTGTTCAATGACATTTAAATCCAAGTATAATTCATTTTCGTAGATTTTTTCATGCTTTTTGTCCCTAATCGAGTGTGTGTTTACTTTTTAAAGGTGCAGTGCCAAAGTAGCTGGTAAATTACTCCTTTTCCTTGTCAGACATGTCACCGACCTTTTCACCTACAAGAAGCAGGTATGACAAGAAAGGAAATCGGCTAGCAAATGATTTTTACAGTTTAAATCCCAGAAGAACAAGAAACAATACATCTCGCCCTGAAACTTGGGCGAAAAATATAAAACAATTAAATAGAACGCTGGGAAAAAGTTATAAAAGTCTGCACAAGAAGAGTGGAAAAACAGTCATAATATAAAAAGAAGAGAGAAGAAACCAGGTCCACAGTGTATGTCACAGATATGCACAGCCAGCATCAAACGATTTTGTAACCAATTCACAGAAATTCAGCGATCAGATCTTTCTCAAAATTTTTGGGATCTCTCGAGAGAAAGAGAAAAAAATTTTTGTCTGTTCCCACGTCAAAGTCAGAAAACCTAAAGAAAAGAAGGAAGGAAATTCTGGGGAGAACTACTCCTTCCATTACTTTTTAAATCTCTCAGGTAAACAAGTAGAAGTATGTAAGCAGTTTTTCTGCACGGCTTTGTGCTTGAAAGAGTGGACAGTCCTCACTTGGGCAAAGAAAAAAGCCTCCCCCACGATGAAGTAGATCTTGATGAGCCAGAGGAGAGGGTAACGAAAAAAAAAAAAGTTTTTTGCCACAGTGGTTTGATATGCTGCCGAAACTACCATTGCACTATTGCAGAAAAGATACCGAAAAACTGTATCTTGAAGAAAGGTGGAAAAGTAAAACCGATTTGTACAAAACGCACAAAGCTTTTGCAGCGGAACATAATAAGTCTGCTGTCAGAAGAACCTATTTCCGCCAGATATTTTATCAGTTGAACTTGAGTTTTTTTCCACCCAAAAAAAACCAGTGCGATACATGTGTAGGTCGTAAGTCTGGAAATGTGCCCCAAAAAGAATGGGAGCAACACATTCTTGATAAAGATAGAGCAAGAGCTGGAAAGGACTCTGACCAGGCTCGAGCCCTCAAAAACGGTATTATTTGTCTGTGCATGGACTTACAGGCAGTGAAAGTTTCACCACCGACGAATGCGAATGCCATGTACCATGAAACTAAATTTTGTTCACATAATTTCACTGTTTATAACCTAAGTAGCTGCCACTGCTGTTGCTTCTGGTTGTATGAAACCGTGGCGGATTTAAGTACCAACACTTATGGGTCCTGCATAAATAATTATTTAAGAAAGCATTGCAGTTCCACGGCCAGAACACCAATTGTTATCTACAGCAACAACTGCTGTAATCAAAATAAAAACCATGTGTTAGCAAACGCGCTTTTGCATACCTCAATGGAATTAAGGGTTGAAATCACTCAGAAGTAATTAATAAAAGGGCATACGCAGATGGAATGCGGCAGCGTCCATGCTGCCATAGAACGGCCGTTAAAAAATCAAAATATTTATATCCCCCATGAATATGTGAAACACACTGTTGAAGCCCGAAAGAAGCCATGTTCGTATGACGGGAATACATTGACTACAATTTTATCCTAGATTTTGACAAACTTCATTACTATGATTCCATCCGTCCTGGTCGAAAGCCAGGCGATCCTGTAGTGAATGACATCCAATGCCTCAAATACTGTCCGGATGGAAAAATGTATTTTAAACTAAATTTAGATGACTCATTCGCAATAACATTGAAGAGTGATCCCCCTAATCTATGGTCCTTGCGTCTGCCAATTCCAAAGTCAAGATCTGCAGGATCTTAAAGCAGTCAGCCCAATAGATTACCATCAATTTTATAATAATTTGCCCACTTGTTGATTGGTGATTGTGCAGGTATGCAGGAGCGCATTTGCTACTAAATGATTGTTCACCTGATTTTGTCTACTGCCAAATATTGTAACTGGCGACGGTGAAACTACCAAACCACCTATCTCGGTTTGCGACGTTGCAGATTTCCTGTCATACTTTATTTTTTAAATGAAAAACTACTCAAAATCAATTCTCGTAAACTTCTGTGATTTTTTTCTTCTCTGAGTGAAGAAAACTCAGTGTAAACTTCAAGGAATGATATTCATTTGTTATCCATAAAAAAAATGAAATGGGAGAGGAGATTTTTAGATGCCGCCAACGAGAAGCGCAGTCTGGTAGTTTCACTGTTGATGGACTGAATTAAGCAGAAAGAAACCAACGCACATGTTGGAAAAATTTGAGTTATGATTGGTTTTGAACTCAACCACTGCTCTGCTATCTATCGTCAAAAATTCAGAGTTTTTGTTCGAGCGAATTTTGCAGAAATTGAAGTTAAAGTTCATCTTTTACACTGAGTCCGGCAATTATGCCGGAGCAAAATTTCAAACCTCCTCTTCTCAGTTTCAACTTGATGTGGATTGGTTCCTTTCTGATAAGCTCGGTCCATATGGCGTTTCCATAATTATTTTGACGGTGAAACTTCCAAACCACATATCTCATTCACACTTTTTTAAAATTTCTGCTCTTATTATGTTGCCTTCTTAAAAGAAAACATATCTGTATCCTTCTTACTAAATTTTCTTAGCACGGAGAAGATAGTTCATGTAAGGTTTTAAGACTTTACTTTGGGTGACGTTCCATTTGCAACGTCACGAACCGTAATACGTAGTCTGGGAGTTTCATTGTCTATTTACGTTTTATTTCTTTTGATGTCAAATTTAAATTTTCTGCTCATTGCCATGGTACGATGAAAGAGGAGGGCAAGAAGAGATAGTTGAAAAAATGTGAAAATGCTCTAGAATGAATCGAAAAGATTATTCATGTTGTGTCTAAACAAATCAATTTATTTTGTTTTTCCAGGATATCAGGCTAGGTTGGAGGTGGTGCTGCAGGTATAGGAGGTGTCGCTGCAGGTTAGGTTTTATTGGTGGTGGTGTTAGAAATATTGGAAGTGGAATACCTGATTAGATTTTTTAGTGATTTAGAACAAGGTAAGTGAGACATAGGTATGCTCTCCTCGACCTTTTTTGCCGAAATTCATTTTTCTCTCCTTCTATAGAGCCGTTGTGTGAGTTTTGAATTTCAAAAACTTTGTATTCCTAGCCGAAAATGAATATGACAGTCTGCTGTTAATAGTAGTAAACAAACAACCACCTCACTGAAAGCAAATGAATTTTTATTCTTAACGAATATGCTTTCACCAAATGTGTCCTTTTTATCAACAGCAGATGGTCATATTTGTTTTCGGCCAAAACTGCGAAGCTGTTGGAATTCAAATCTCTTGCTGTGGCTTTGATGGCAGGCAAGATCCATCCATGTAGGTCAGTCATTGCGCAGATATCCCCGCTCGGGGTTAGCCCCATCCATTGGCTCGAGATGTCAGCATTACTACCGCGAAAGCGAAACAGCACGGATACAATGCTTTTCTAATGGGAGAGAGCAAATTTTTCTCAATGAATCATTTAAATTTCTTCTTTTAAAACAGTTTGAAACTTTCTGAATGTAAAAAAAAAGTCTCGGCATTAGCGCATGGAACTTCAATTTGATCGATAATCCCTTTTTATATTTTTAAAAAAATGATTTTTGAGGTTAACCATTTCGGGTATTCGGTGGATTGTTTGTTTACGTTCAGCCAGTGCTATTTCGAGGTTGCGCATAATTCGATCTCCTGTTAGATCTACGATTAACTGATGTTATGTTATCAATTATTCAATTAGTTCCTTTTTATTTGTTGAACGGTGTTATTTACTTTCAGTGTGCTGAAGAGTGAAGTTTAGCCTTTTCTTACCTAGCAATTATTTTCATCAAATGTTCATCACATTCATAACTTCACTCATATTCTTAATATGTATGTACTGTGATCTCACTTGGGTAGACAATGAACGGATTTATGTACTTAAGCAGCTCGAAAAGTTTACTTTATTACGCCAGTACCAGAGTATGGTCAAGAATTTTCATCTCCTAATTACAGAAAGTTCCCATCTTTATTCAAATCAATGACGAATACTTACTTCCATACTTACCTTTTATTTGCAACATTATTTTTTAGTACGTGGGTTTCCATGTCTTGTCCAATTATTTCCAGTAGTACTTTGTCAATTCCTCATCGTCTGGCCATTACCGAGAGTACATCAGACTCCGTGCCAAATGCAGGCAATTTTTGTTCTCTGTTGCAGCTTATGATGGACTTTCAGGTATGTTTAAGGGAGTTCGAGAGGTAATGCGGGTTGTTGAAGAAGCGCAGAAAATCATATAGCAAGAAAATGCAAGTTGATAAAGACAAATTTATAAACCAAAAAAACCACAATGACAGAGCAAAAAAAGCCTATAGTCATGGGAAGCATTAAAAAATGCAAGAAATCAAAGTTATGATTGTTTAATAAAGTAAAACAAAATTACAGAAGATGGAATAAGAGAGTATTACTTCAGTCACTAAGTACATTCAATCTAAAGTTATTGTAAAGCATGAAAAGTGCAAGTTGAAAAAGACAAATTTAAAAACCAAAAAAACCACATTGAGAGTGAAAAGAAGCTTATAGCCATGAAAAGAGTAAAACATATAAGAAATCAAACTCATGATTGTTTTACAAGGTAGAAACAATTGAAGATGACAGAATAATAGAACATGACGAAGAACATTTTTTGTCGAAGAAGCTTAGCCCAATTTCGCAAGCGGGTGAGGGTGCGCGTTCTAATGAAGGTGAGAAGGGCCTCCTCGCTCACAAGAGAACCTTGAGGCAAGCGAGATTTGGTTCTTTTAGGACCTTACTAAAGATTTGTGTATTATTACCATGTTGTACCACATGTTGTGCACATAATTATTATTACATATATTATTATTATTATTATTATTATTATTATTAAAGAAGCATCCCGAACTGGGTGTTCACACTTCCAAAAAAAGGAGGAGAGGTGATAGTTGAAAGTGAAGGAAAATGAAAGTGAAAAAGTGAATGAAAATGAAAGTGAGCAGGAGCAAAAATGGACCGAATGTCTCTCCAAAGGTTTTTTAACGGAAGCATCTGCTGACTGCAAAAATGCCATCAGAATCGCAGATGAGGAGTTTTTAAANAAAACTCCTCATCTGCGATTCTGATGGCATTTTTGCAGTCAGCAGATGCTTCCGTTAAAAAACCTTTGGAGAGACATTCGGTCCATTTTTGCTCCTGCTCACTTTCATTTTCATTCACTTTTTCACTTTCATTTTCCTTCACTTTCAACTATCACCTCTCCTCCTTTTTTTGGAAGTGTGAACACCCAGTTCGGGATGCTTCTTTAATAATAATAATAATAATAATATATTTATTAATGCAACAGCCTCATGAAATTCATACAAATTTATGAGCTTAACACTTGTCAAATAATATAATGGAACAAAATTTAACATCAAATAAATGTAACAAAAATTTTAACAAACAAATAAAAAAACAGTAAATGAAGAACTAAGACTTAAGACTTAGGGGACTACATTCAGGCAATTTAGGTATTGGGGAGATTTGCTTTTCTTTTTCAACCTATGTGCAGTGTAACCTGCTAGGAAGTTACGACCTTGGGTGTAGGTGTCTGTAAAAACGTCAGGAAGCTTATATTCCCCTCTAAAGGCTTCTTCTCCCTTCAGTTCTGATTCCTCTTCCCAGGAGAGCCAATCTTGGGTGGCCTCATCCTTTGTGAAGAGGTCACAATCAATTAAATTCTCAAAGAGCTCAGGAGTGAGCATTATTTTGTCAGAGCCTTTATTGTCCTTTTCTCTGGCTGGGAGCTGCACAGAAGTAGCATCAGATGAAGATGCTTTCACCATCTGGACGTTCTGGAGGTTCAGCATCTCAGTGCTGTTCTCTTTATTTTCTTCAGCCGCAGGTCGCAAGGAAGTGGCATCCACTAAACAGGCTTCGTTCAGCTGATCTACCTGGGTGTTAAGGGTATCAGCAGTACAAAGCGTTGGGATGTTTGCCTAACAGGAACCATTTAATCCTGCATTTAAAATCAAGAGAGTCAGGGAGGTCGTTAAGGCAAAATCCCTCTGATAGTGCTGAAGAAATTTTCAACAATGTCTTGGTTGAGTCTTCTTGTTATAATGTAGTCTATCTTCCCATTAGGGAATTTTTCTTTTAAGTAAGGCAGCAGGCTTTGCAAAGCTGCATTTGACAGGAGGAAACCGTTCTGGAAAGGCATTAAGCAACTATACTCGACTTTTTCTACATTTTTGGTGATAACTTTCATCTCCATGATGTACTTATTGACCTTTTCTAAAAATTCTTTCTCCTTTTCTGTCCCTCTGTACCCTGTGAACATGTCCGTAGAGTTCATAAGTTCAAACCATTCATTGAATAGCTCCAGGAACTCTATAACGCCTTCACAACTGGAGTCACCAATGTCTTCTTTATCATGATAATATTTCAGGGCCATCGCGTTGGTATGGGAAATCAACTTTGCTGCTTTAGCAACATTCTGTCGCTGGGTATTGGATACATAAAGCATATCCTCATTCAGCTTGAAAGCAATCTGGATATCCTCTCGCTCCGATTCTTTTCTTTTTTCCTTAATGCTGTGTCTTCATCTCCTCCAAGAGCTGAATAAGGTGGTCCAAGGGGATCAGCGTGCGGATCTCCACCGGGCAGTTAAGCTAAATGGCTCTCATGCATCTCAAAATTAATACCCTCTGCTTTATCAGCTTGTTCTTCATCTTTCCTCTTCGTTACCTTCAGAGCCTCTTTTGATCTGTCCTCCATCACTTTAATGTGTTCCTTTTCTGTCTTCGCCTTTTCAGTTTTGAGAAATTGCAGCAACTTTACTAGGGGACGTTTTGAGACAGATTTTCCACGGACAGCATATCCAGTGTCTATTAAATGGTTTTTTAGGCATTTTAGGAGATGTGGTGTATCCCAAAAGATGAAAAAATGTTTTCATCAATGCCCTCAATGGTGTAATAAGGCTTGCTGGGTATGATCCCAAGTTCTCTAATCACGAACTGGCTTTCTGAGCCACCGTCGCAAACTGCTGCAACAACTTTGAAACCTAAGTTGTGCATTGTTTTAATGAGACTTTTAAACAGATTTGTCGACATTCGTTGGTCATAATCATAATAGAAAAGCTGTTTCCAGGAATCAAAAAGTCCACGGACAAATGCAACTTGAGCCTTCTTGTGAAGACCAATGACCTGTTCCTTTCCTTTGTCAAAGCACAACTCTTGGCTGATGCTTATCTCATCAAATGAGAGCACACAAATTCTATCTCTAGGAGTCATACTCAGCCTCTCTTTTCCATAAGAATCAGAAATGGATTTAGCGAGGTTCTGCAGCTTACTGTCCAATTCTACCTGTTATGATCCATCCCCAAAATTTTATAATACTTCCTGGTGCTTAGGATTTACCAGCTTAATATCACGGATTCAGATACTTTACAAACTCTGCTAAAATTTACTCAGTCTGATTGGTCACATAAAAGAAATAATAATCACCAGAGAATTTTTATTCTCACGTCACAAAGCAAAATACTTGTCGATTAAGAAAAATGATACGTTCCTCTCGAATAAAATCAACAATTAAGACCATCAAGTGAGCAAGCAGGGAACCAAGATGTACCTAAAAATCAAACAATTTAATCAGTGTGTAATTTAAACTAAGTAATGCACACAGAACATTTAGGATGAAATTCTACACCACATAACTGAGAAAATTGGCAATGATACTTTGGACATTCAACGATGAAATGAGGTTTATTTTCAAACGGTGTCACAAATTTATGTGTGCGCTGAGATCCTGAAACTTAAAGGACTACTCTAATGTCGCAGCAGAGGATCGATCAAGAGAGGCATATGAAAGGTAGTGCTGAATGGGAAGGTGCAAAATTATCAAAACACAGTGAAAACTCACATTGCTAAGCAGTAGTTTTAATGAAGCAGCAGAAATCATTTAAAATTTAATTGGATATATGAAGCTTCTGCATCTGGTCCAATTCTAACTTAATATTTTCATTGGTCCTCAAAATTTGATACTTCGCACTGATGCTAGAGATTTACCAGCTTGATTTGATTGATTTGATTTATTCTGAAGCTTACTATCGCGAATTCAGATATTTTAAAGTCTGTTTCTTCATCTTTATTAAAATGAACTCTGCTGAAATGTACATAAGCCTGTTTCTTCATCTTTATTAAAATGAACTCTGCTGAAATGTACATAAGTCCAATTGTTACATAGAAGGAATAACACTCATCGGAGAATCTTTATTCTCACAAGACAAAGGGAAGTTTTGCAAAAACGAAAATTTTGCAATTTTTGGGGAGCCAGTGCTCCGTTATACAAAAATACACGGGCTTAACATTATGTAACAATACTTGTAGCTCTTGATATACGCTGAAAAGACTTTGCCTATTCAGTAGAATCATTGTGTTGTTGCACCTGTCAACATTATCGGGTACTGAGAGTTTTACATTTTGAATTTCCCTATTATCAACTACTAGTTGAGCAGTTATGTCAGTAGGATCTAGTTTAAATTAATGGAGACACCTTCCAATTGGTTTGACATACTTATTCTTTTAATTAACCGTCTAGCTACTATTTGTTTGCCAATTTGATTCAGATGCAGTAGATCTGTACTATAGTATTTGTATTTGATATCGTCAGCCCTTACCACGACTAAGTTTTTGTGGATTTTACCTAATTCATATAGAGTTTTGTTAGTGTCAAAAATTAGAGCGTTGACCCAGTGATCACTCGCCAAGTCAAATCTCCTTGGAATATTCACTAGGTACACTATCTTTTCTGAGCTTGCTAGGAGTTCTAAGAGCGATCTCACAAAGTACATTGCCCTGTTTCTGAAAAAGTCATTTGCTCCTGCCCAGATTACAACATTATTGGACTTACTTTTCTCTATATCAATAATAACCTGATTGAAGGTCATGCCGGGTTTGATTGCTTCGGTGATGCTGACATTTAGACTGTCCTTAACTAAGCTTCCTATTCCCCGTCCATGATTGTCCGCGAAAAGGTCCAGATGAAGATTCCGTACGTTCTTTGGTGCATTTCCCAAATGATCATTCCTTTCGATGTTAGAGATTGAACACTGACTGGAATAGGTCTGTGGTGAAATGTTCCTGGTTTCACCTTGACTGGATGCTGATGATGAAGGGGGGCTTCTTCTAATTGAAAGGCTGGCAACGGGGTTGTCCATCTCTGCTCTGGGACGTGCGTTTGATGTCAATGGCAATGGATCATTTCTAGTTAGAGTCGGTTTCGAGGTAGGGCTAGATGATGTTGTTCAGTAAAAACTTAGCGGTTGACAGTCATGCTCTATCAGAGATGGGCGTAAAGCTTGTCGACTCTGCGAAATTTCTAGGGATTTTCTTAGACAACAAGCTATCATGGTTTGCCCATACTGAAGCACTATGCAAAAAATTAGCAACCACATCTTTTCAACTTAAAGTTCTTAGAAGTCTAGTTAGCCAGAAAGTTCTTAAAGATGTATACTATGCACATGCATATTCTCATATTTCATCCTGTATAGCCGCATGGGGTAGTTCTAACAAACTGAATGACATTTTCATCTGGCAGAAAAAGATCATCAGAAGAATCTCTGGTCTAGGCAGA